ATCAGGGAGGTGTTGTCATATTTCGTGGGCACGAAATCGTGTTGCGTGTCGAAAGATGGCCCCGGCTTAAGACAGCACGCAACCGAATTTTCTCGCAATTGCCTATTTCGGTCCAGAAACACTCGACGAGAGTGGGAGGAACAATCTGGACGGAGGGCATGCGGGGGGACGGGAAACCGCGCGATGTGTCGGTCGATTGGCCTAGGCATAAGACGCATGTTGCAATGTAGTGCTTGCAACTTCCCAATGTCCGGTCGGTTGGTACGAAGTTGTCCCGAATCGAGACCGTCGTGAGGCTCAACGATGCAGGACGGAGGGCATGCGTGGGGGACGAAATCGCGCGGTGTGTCGGTCGATTGGCCTAGGCATAAGGAGGTGTTGTCATATTCTGCAGGAGTCAATAAAAGGGCAGTGGCGAGGGACAGTGAGTATGCAATTTGGCATTTGGGCTGGTGGAGATGATCTGGCGTTCTCTTGACAAATTTTGAGAAGTTCTGTTTGTCCTTTGGTGGGGTGTTATTGGTCTCGTGTATTCAGTTTTGGTTTTTTCCCTCTTTTATGGGTTTGATGGTATTCATTTAAATTCTTAAGCTAAAAGATAAATGAGTTTGTTTTGTCACTTATTTAGAATTGCTAATTTTGGCGGTTGTAATTGGATCACCCATTTGCACTTGTTAACATTAATGGCAAGTGGATTTGTGCTTGCTAATGGCTCATATTTTTGCCTCTTTTAAGTAGTTGGTTTATGTGCCATTTCCCACTGTACGTAATATTTTGTGCCATATTCTCCGACTCAGAAAGAGAATATTTTGTGAAAGCATATTAAAAAATGCTATTTGTACCCACGCGCCCCCCATGTGAGGGGCATGTAAACGCCCGGGTACATGTAGCTCCTCCCAAGCATATTTGCTTCTGATTATTACTCAGATTTAATATTGTGTTGATCAAATTGAATGTAATTTCTCAATAACTTGAAAGATGCTTGCTTTTTTTCACATGTAATTGCAGAACGTGCCCTATGTTTTTGTTCCATCAAAACAAGCTCTTGGTCGAGCATGTGGAGTTACCAGACCAGTTATTGCTTGCTCTGTGACAAGCAATGAGGGAAGCCAGTTGAGAACTCAGATACTGCAATTGAAGGTAAGTTTTTTTACCGACTTTATTTTCGTATATTAATGACAATTTCAGTTGATACGAGCAATCATTTACCTAATTTATTGTGTAAAATGCAGGATGCCATCGAGAAGCTCTTAATCTGAGTGTGAAAGGTCGTTTCCAGCATGATGGGCCTCTGAATTTACCCGAATTTACCCGAGGCTTTGACGGAGTGTGTGTTCTTATAGAGGGGATTATCTATACTCTCTTATTCTCCATGCAGTTCTATATATTTACCCAAGTGTGTTACATTACAATGCGGAAGCTTCTTTATTACTTAATTTACATGTTTTGAGGATTGTAATGTTCTTGATTGAGTGAAGTTCATGTTATGCGATGGGTTCTATTCAATTTCACAGTTTTCTTGTTAAGAAGCTTTGTTATAATGTTTGGCTATGCTTAAGAAAATCTTATTAAGTTAACGAGTAAACTTATAAAATTTATTCCTTTTTATTGTTTGAAGTTGAAAGTAAGTAGTTTATTTAATAGAATTTCTATCTTTTGTTTCTTAATTGCCCTGCCGTTTCCTTCAATTTTCCAGTGGTTGACAAGCTAAGCACACGTGCAACTCTCTATTATATGTTGCCCTGTTGGTTTTGACCATTGCAGATTCATAAGCTTGCTTGCCTGTAAATGCCAGCAAACAATTAATGTTTAATAATAACCACTTACGTATAAAATGTGAGAAACGATGTCTGACAGAACAGCTATTGTTCCCTATAAGATGATACCATTCTTCTTCCAATCAAAAAATGAAATAGACCATGTTGCGGCATGATGTTGCCCTTGTCTTTGATTTTCTTAACAAAAGACAATGAATATAGTATAGGTCAATCTATAAGCGAGCATTTCAGGATGGAAAAGTTAAAAACTTGTTAGATTTCACAATACCGATAGGATATTGATTTTAGTTAACATGGATGGATCGTCCGGAGAAAATAATCACCAAGAGGTTGGTAGATTCCTGTTTTGATTGCACTGATTGGGTCTTAGGGCCCATTTTACGAAGTTTTTGAAAAGTTGAAAGCTGATTCATGGATCAACAGGCTATTTTTGGAGAGTTTGGATAATATTTTGAAAATATTTTTTCTGGTTATAAGAGCTTTTAGAGAAGTTGACTCAAAGTAGTATTCCTTAAGAAGCTCTTTTAGAGAAAACATAAATGAAGCCCTACCAAATGAGCCTAGGATTGGATTGTTTGAATCCTACTTGAATTGGATTTATCTCCTAATGACAACGATAAGTTTTCCCTGATTAACTGCTATTTTAAAGGTTGATATTAATAGCTTGTTCGGCACAGATTAATTAACCATAATGTTTGAGCCGTCTATGAAGTGTATCGTGTTTAAGTTACATTTCACTTATGGGTTGTTAAATATGTACAATAGTTATCTTTTACAACATCACATTTTAATTGCATCAAAGGCTCTAACTTTACTCGTTGCACTAATGTCTCATTTTTTTGATACATTTTTATTCTCAATTTTTTCATTAATTAGTACATCTAGTTCTTGATGATAGTTTCTGTCCAAATATTTTATTGGCGTACCTTGAAATGAGAATCATATTATGCACTCTTCTATAATTGAAAAAAAAATGCTAAGGGCACAAGTGCGACAGCGAGCACAAGTTGAAAGCATTCAATGCAATCAAAAAGTGGTGGAACAAAAGCCAATTCTGTTGTCGATATAATTCCTTCTACTTATACAACTAGCGTTGTAAAAACTAGCATTCTACCCTATAGTATTTTATTATGATGGTTGCACTTTTAGCCCTCGTTTAATGGTTATTATTTGGCCAAAACAATGTTTTGAATAATGAGTTTTAAGAGGATGTGTGGTTGAAAAGAATGAAAAAATTTTGAGTTTACTTTATTGTGTAAATATGTGATTGAAAATGAGTGTGTAAAAAAAAAAAAAAAATACTTTTCAAATAATGTTTTATCAAACGGGGCTTAATATACACACATATAATTCAAGGCATACATATAGCGATTGATGCATTGAGTATTGCTAGGTAATTCTGTTAATATGTGGATGTGATCATGTGCATATGTTGCAAATATTTACGAACATGAGAGAATTAAGCCTTAACAAAATGTTGGTCGTGTTTGATTCAGTAGACTAAGTTCCATGGCTTGTCTGCTGGACAAAATGAGACTTCGGACATTTTCCTATTTCTTCCTGGTGGAGTGGGATGGATATGGTTATTAAAAAATATAGAGACCATGCTGGGTTCTTGTTTTATTCCTTCATTAATCTTTGGTTTTGTCTAATACAAAGATCAATCTTGACTGATCAGGTTAGAGTGGTTCTCAAAGAAAATAAAATAATAGAAAAAGGAAAATGGCCTACCCGAAATTGAACAAGTGTATGTTTGGTTCTGATTTTTCACCCTAAAAAATCAACTTTTTTGACTGTTACTTCCCTAAATCAGTCATCATTTGTGACTTATTCTCTCACAGATAGGACTCACATTTTTCTTCAACGATCAAAAAATCAATTCTCATAATCACAACTGAACAAGCCCTAAGATGCAAAGTAGCTCGTAATATTACCAAGCGACCAAATTAGGATAATATATGGGGATAGGATTTTAGGCCGAGTTGAACATCTTTCTTTAACTACGTTCCTTTAAAATGATACATATCTCCTTCACATTGAACACATCAATGTGCGAATCCTTTTCAAGCTTTATTGATTACCATCGATTATGTAGCACAAAATAAAGTTAAATGAACATAATATTAATCCACCTTATAAGTACTATCCATCTGAGATATGAATTTACGGAAGAATTTTTTTTTTATATAAGGGTAATTCTACTTAATTTGTCATTATCAATCTCAATTTTAAGTAATGAACAAGGGCTATTGTCGATGGTAGATAAATAGATTGTCCATGTCAAACATGTTATATTTCATCATATAAAATACTTCTATAATTAGCGTGTCTTAAATTGAATCTTTGAGTTTACTGAAGGAAAAACTCACCAGCTAAAAAAGATTAATAAATTTAACTCAATTCCTTTAAGTTTCATTCTAGCGAACGATATTTTCAAATGCAATACTTAACGCATTAGTTATAATACAACACGAATTAATATATATACAGACCTAATATCTACCCTTTACAATTAGGACTCAAATTTTCATTTCTCGATAATTATAGATATCTTGGGATTTACAATGTAAACGCGTTTTACCTGTTCCATAGCTGTTTGGCGGTGATAATTCGAGTTTCCCAAGAAAATCCACCCAAAATAAGAAATTGTTGTTGTCATTAAAGCACCTCTAATTAAAATTAGTAAACGATTCTTATTATTTTAAAATAAATTTAACTTCATATAATATTTCTGCAAAAACAAGATTTATTGGAAGAAGAACCTCAATGTTTAATCAATATCCTAAGACTTCAACGTAAATGGCATTATAAAATTTTACAAATAAACATATTAGAGATCTTGTTCCCTTAATTGAAATTCCTGATGTTTTCAAAATATTCGAATGTGGAGACATCTACTGCTGTTGATTCCTCAATCCTGCAGACGACCCTGTAATAGATATTAACAATTTGTGTAAACAATTCATGAAATCCAACAAAGGGAACCTTCCATCAAACCACATGGCTATCTTTCCCTATTTTAAATAACATCTTTCGAATCATTTCGTTCTGTCTGAAAATTTGAATCGTTTATAAATTTAAAATATGTCGTTAATATGACTTTAATGTGCAAACTGTCAAAGACATATTATGTGTACAATTTTTTTTTTCCAGAAATGATCGACAATAAGACTTGAACTTATAATTTCTGCATGTTGTGATACCATGTTATTTATTTTATTTTAACACGTCATCAATAAATTCCCTTACGATTATGTTGAATTCATATTTTTCAAATGCTCGATACATGGTGCACAATTTTTTTAGTAAGATTTGCACTCATTGTTTAAACAATGTCTTGTTGAGTCACCTTGTCTAAAATTTTTAAAAATATATGTTTTTAAAATTTGGAGAATGTAGAGATCCCAAATATTTCTCTAATATGACATCCATGTTCCAAACCTTTAGTTGGTGCCACCCTTCTCCTCAAATTTTAACATTGTGTGCGCATCGTTTCAACTCGATTTAGCCCTCTTCCAAACCTGGACTTTTGTTTTAGTACCAGACTCGTATTGAGCTATACGAGCTTGTTGCTAGACCTTATCAGTAAGTGAGCCATGGGTATGGCGCACGAACGATGCAATCGGATATCGCTAGCGCTTATATTGATTGAGTCCGACGCTGCTTTATAACAAGTATTCGAAGTGGACGAAGATTATTTTTGAATAATTATACCCATAAGTCATGCCTGTTGCATGACCTTTTACATTCTATTTAGACGTTTTCCATCTAGTTGGGACACCATGCCTACATTGTTAAAAGGTTGGAGACATGAGGTGGAACAAACTAAAGGTTGGGACATAAATGTCAGTCTTTAACAAAAAAAATTTACCCTTCAAATTTTGAGTGGTTATATCGCTACCATAGTTTTTATTTCATACATCACATTTTAATTGCAATTAAACTCCTCAATCTTGCCTCATTTATACTAATTATTTCCTTAACTTTTTTAGTTGAATTCTTATCTTCAACTTTTCATTAATTTGTATGTCTTGTCTTTGATGATGATTTATATGAAAACATTTTATTTTCATGCTTTGAAATGAGGAAAAAAATGAAGAGTAAGGTATTTTACGCCATTTCAATGGACTTTTGGATATAAAATTGTTATCAAATATAAAATGTGTTAAATAATAGAAAGTTTGAGGATAAAAATGACATGAAAAATTGATAGAGACATAAGTGTTATAATGAGCGAAGATTAAGAACTTTAAATGCAATTAAAATGTGTGCAAGAAATAAAAATTGTTGTGTTAATATAATATAATTACCCTTAAATTATCTCATCAGCAACTTCTATATATATGAGAGGCAATTCCTAAACTACTACATTTGAGAAAAACAGCAGATCCTATAATATTTATTCATAATGCCTAGGTTTCTTATATTATGCTTCATCTTGTCCAGTGAGTATCTTCTCCTAACAATGGCTCATAATGTGCCAGTATATGCTAACCCACCGGCTTCAGATGGCATAGCGCAAACACCTATGACGGCGCGTAAACTCGGTAAACATCGCCACACAATCTTGAAGTCTGTTGCTGCTCCAAGTTTGAGCCCATCTGAGCCACAAAAAACAAAAGAAAACTTGCCTTTTTCAAGAGAAATTAGTTCCTCCGGCCAAGAGAATGAAACTTCACAAGTGGAGGAGATCAAAATCGGCCACCACCACCACTCATTTGACAAGTCAGTTGCCGGCGGCGGAGTGATTCTTGGGGGTTTAGCCACTGCATTTTTGGTGGCGGTTGTCTGTTACATCCGGGCTACTGGAAGAAAAAATGCAGAACCCGGTTCTCCTATTAATTGATTTGTACTATGTACATAGATTGGATACATCAGTATCTTTTTATTAGATCGTATAAAGAAATTAGAACAAGTTGATCCAGTCATGTAAATTAAAATAAAAATAAAAAAATTATGAAATACATGGGAAAATTGCTTCCATGATCTTCATTTTATACTTGCATCTTGAGTTTTTGGTTTTTCATTCTGGTTAATTACTCCAATTTAGTCATTAAATTATCAAATATTTGACGTTGATAAAGATTTCAAAAAGAGCTAAAAATTTTATATCTTATAATAATTAAACATATTTGTTGCCCCGTCTTCGAGCCCTTTTGTGGGCGAAGAGTCCGGGCATGTATACCCAATGAAAATGAAAAAGATAGTTCGAGTTTTGAAAGTATATCCATTCAAATAGAAAATTGTTGTTATTGTGAAATATATAGTAGATTAGAAGGCACTCATTAAAGTATTTCTAAATTGTCCACATTTTTCGGTTTATGGAACTAGAAGATTTATTAGAACCTCAAAAATTTTAATCCAATATTCTAAGAGTACTAAGTAAATAAACATAGTAGAGATCAGAGTCTATTATTTTTAAATTTCAGATTTTTTCAATTATTCTAATGTCTCCATGTGTATTTCTCTTGATTTGTAATAAATAGAAACAAGTTTGGTGAAACAATTGTTGAAAGGAGAACCTTCCATCAAACGCATGGGTGTAAATTATAATAGAATATTTCTATCCACCACCAATTGTGCTACAATATCGATTCATATAACACTATGTGTGATGTCGTACAAATGATCAAGTGAATTGAGAACAATTGGACTGAGAAAGAAAAATAGTAAATTACAGATTTGGTGTTCAAGTTCTAATATTGGCCCATATCACCTTTATGGAAAGAGAATGATGAGTCAGATTGAACTTACAAATTTACTGTGATATATAATGGATTTTATTCATCCGAGTTCGTTTGGGACTCAAAAATTGCTTTTTAAAATTTAGTGCTATTCTTGTGATTTAATTTATTTCTAATTCTTTTCAATTTTATTTCTTTTAAACTAGGTTTATATGTAAACCCTTATAAATAAAGGTTATTTCTTCCTTTTCGAAGCATCTTAAAATTAATAAAATTTCTTGAGAATTTTCATTCTCTGGTGAACTCTAGTTATGGTGCTTTTAAGGTTTTCATTTGAATTCCTTGTTTCGCACTGCATCAATATAATATGTTAAATGAAATGTAAAATTAAGTAACTCATTTAACTGTGTAGAAGTTTTCCTAGGACAATACACGTGCTGATTATCTTAGGAAAATGTCACATATCATGTCACATTTTTAAGAAGATAAAAAAGTGACAAAAATTTAAAAGGTGAGAAACTCAAAAAAAAGTTTTTTGAAAGAAAAAATATTGTGTAAATGTAAAAGTGACAGAATGTCACTTTTTTTAACACAATCTAAAAAAAAAAAAAAAAAAAAAAAAGGGGGAAAAAAACTTAAAAAAAGGGAAAAAAAAAAAAAAAAAAAAAAAAAAAAAAAAAAAAAAAGGAAACTCAAAAAAAAAAAGGGAAAAAAAAAAAAAAAAAAAAAAAGATCTCTTGGTGTGATTCACGATAACATTTTTTTTTTAAACTTGCTTGAAAGTAGTCATTTTTTTTATTGGGTAAACAGCGGTTTGAAACTAAATGGTACCGCAAAAAAAAAAAAAAAAGGTTTGATTTACAATTACCAAAATATAGACCAATAAATAAGAGATTGTATTACTTCTCTTAATAAGATTTGACCTTTTAAAATGTAACTCAAGTCTTCATATAGTATTAGAGGTTATTAAGCCTCAACGAACAATTTGATCCAATTAAAACTCAAAAAAGCACACGTATTTCAATATTAGTATACTCAAACGTGCCACCATTTTGCAAAAACACATTAAGTGATAAAATTCACACGTTAATTATTGAAATATAGACCAGCATATAAGGATTTAAGCTGCTTATCTTAACAAAATTGACCTATTAAGATGGAATTTTAAGTTTTAATAATTCATAGTGTCAGTAATCAATAACAATATCTTTGTTTGTAATTCTGTCTAAATCACTAGTAGATATTGGTTTCATTTAGAATCACCCATAGTCATATTGCAATGATCATCGATGAATTTCCATAAGTTATCATTTGCTACATTAATATTTTTATTTTTGTTCTCGTAGCCACCTCTTAATCGACCAAGATTTTAATGCTATCTTCTCCACCTCCATGTAAAGTTTGCCACCCAAATCGAAAAATTCTGCCTCCATTTCTCCTTGATGTTATTTCCTTGGCAAAATTGCAGAAGCATCACCTAATGGTGAGTTTTCTTCTTAATACATTAACAGACAAAAGTTTCTTTAGCAACAATTTAGATTCATCTTCGATAGCATAATGCAGCTTTACTTACAGACACATGGGGAAGGAAATAAGTAATTGAAATTGAAAGGGTTGAGTGGTTAAGAGTTTTTACTATTTTGGGGGAACTAAAGACTAAGTGATCTGGATTATAAATGCAATTATTACTATATTTCTAGGTTTTTGTAAATGGGAAGATCACCTGCAACAAAGTCAAAATGTAAGGAATACATCAAATTTACAAAATGAATTATGAAAGTCAACACTAAATTAAACCTTATATAAACAACATATGAAAATATGATTACACATGTTAGCTTGGAAATCCTAATTTTATACCATTGATTGGAATAAAAAATAAAGATATAACCACAAAATTTATAAAGGTTTTCTCAATGTGATATGCTGATGTAATGATTTATTATAATAAAAAGAAGTTTACAAGAGAAAAAATCACATACCCTATTTTCTCCACCATCTCTCTTTTATGATAATAAAAAATCCGAATGACGGTTCCCAATTTATAAGGAGAAATCAAAATTAAAAATTTGAAATTCCTTATCCAATGACAATAATTAAGCTCCACGTCTTAATTAGGAATTGAGAGATCTGATATCAAACTTTTGCTCTCCACCAAATTAATTATTGGAATTTCATCTTCAATTGACATGTCATCTATTTTAATTTTACACATTAACAACTATTTAACACCGTTGAATACTCTCTCTCACAAAACCTCAATTTTTCCCTCGTTAATTTCACCAATAGCCCACCACTCTTTGTAGTAGAACCCTTACCTTCTTTTGTTCCTATTTATAAAATTGCCACATTCTTTTGGAGGAAGGAATAAGAATCATATGTAAAAAACGTGTTTCTCAAAATCAACACTTTAGTAAGGTCAAAAACGTCATTTGGATGTGGAAGGCCCAAGTGGCAACCCCCAATTGGCTGTTGGTGCTTCACTCGACTTGTGCTTCTTCAAACATTATCCTAACCGTCCATTTTTTTATCAATGGTTGAGAACTAATATAATACAATTGGTTTGGTATTTGATGGGTCATTCCAAAGGACAGGCTTCAGTCTTGGTTTTTCAACTTATGGGTTCTTCTTGAGATCTCTCTCTGGTTCTTCGTGATAACTTTCTTCTTCTATTTTGATTTCTGTTTCTTGTGATCTCACATGAGATCTTAGTCGATTTGAAAGAACCTTGTGAAATACATCTTGCTACAGTATTTTTGGTCGATTGTAAGGCCCGTGATGTGTTGGTTAGGCAGTAAGGTACTTTGTTTACCGGTGATTAAGGTGTGATTTGTGAGATCCTTTTGGATCAAATATTAGATCTGGTGTCCGATTATGGTTTTAGTGTATTCTCTCTATATCTTGGAAGGTTATTTTTGCACATGGTGAAGAGGCTAGTCTCTGAGTCCCTCAGATTAGGGGTTTTCACTGATCTGGGTAAATAATCGTTTGTGTTTTTACTGCTTTTGTGTGTGATGGATTGATTATTTCTCATACGAGCATGAAAACAAAGGGATAAATCCTTACAAATCTGGTTCATACAAGTCACAGTCTTTTAAAAGAATCATTTTCTTGATCCACTGTGATTCATATCTATTTTTACACTGAATATTATTTTTGGAATTAATTACTGATTTTTTTTGACAAGTACAATGGCTAAAAGCTATAATTGGTGATCTTGGCATCTTGGGCCTGAACGAGTTTCTTGAAAGATGTCTGCGTACTTGAATTTTGATTAGTCAACCATACAGTGGGTGAAATTGTTCTAATTCTGCCTTTACTCATAATTACTGAAAAGCATGCGTTAGTTGTTCTCAAGATTGGGTGATACTAATTGATAAATTTTAAGAACAATTTCATTCTTGTATATGATATCTGTATGAGATGGTATTGAAACTTGTTTTAAGTTGATAATCTCAATATATTGTATTATGTGATCTTGAGGTTAGTCATTTGTTGGCTTTGCTGTGATAATTGCATTCTCTAGTTGATATTGTATTGTCATTCCTTTGTCAGTTTACCTTTTATTATAAAAAAAAAAAAAAAAAAAAAAAATTTCAAAACTTTCTGCACTTAAGTGATCAATTATTAAAGAATCGCTTATGTCCATAAGTAATCACCATCCTTTTACAAAACCTGTAATGGGTTCTAAGGTTGATATCTCAATTCGATGGAAAGGGGAATTACTCGACATGGAAGCAAAAAATAAGGGCATTTTGGATGATCCTAGAACTTTTTATGCTGAATTAAAAGCTAAACGCAATGTGATTTTAGAGATGAATGGAATTGCTTATAGTTCAATTTTCTTGCATTTATCTGACAACATTGCGAGACAAGTTGAAGATGCTAAAACCCCTAGAGTCGTGTGGACTGCACTTGATGCATTGTTCTTGACTAAGACATTACCAAAGAAAATCTACTTACTAGAGAAATTGTTCAGTTTTAAAATTTCAACTAGGAAAAACTTGGAAGCAAATTTGAGTGACTTTTAGTACTTTGGTTAAGAGTCTTGCATATAATGATAAGAAATTCGATGAGGATCTAGCAGTGATATTGTTTAACTCATTGCTTGAAGTTTATAGGGATATAAGAAATGCTATAAAATACTCGAGATGCTCTAACTATGACAACGGTAACCAATGCATTTCAGAGCTTAAGAATTAGAGGTCAAGAAAGAAAATAAATCTAACTCGAGAAGAGAGCTTGTTTGTGAGAGGAAGAACAAAAAAGAAAGAAAATAATTTCCAGAATAGAAGATTTAAATCTAAATCCAAAGGCAGACCTAAATACGAGGATATGAGCAATAAAAAAAACAAGGACACTTTAGGAAAGACTGTTTTGAGTTGAAAATAAAACATAAAGAACAAAGTACTATTGACCTAAACAATGTTGCTGTTTGTCATCTGGATGGTCTTATTGTCATGATTGTGTCCAGTAATGATAGTAACAAGGATTGGATCTTAGACTCAAAATGCACATTTGACATGAGTTCTAACAGGTCTTGGTTTTACAATTACAAACCAATTGAACCCAGGAAAGTGTATATGGGAGATCACAATTCCTAAACAGTACGGGGAGTTGGTGACATTGCTATTAAAATGCATCATGGTATTGTGAGACAAATGAAGAACGTTAGGCATATCCCAAATTTAAGAAGAAACCTCATTTCATTAGGAATTCTTGAAAATGATGGGTACACATTTAGCTCCTGTAAGATGTCCATTACCTGAAAATGAAAATGGGGGGAATAGTATTTTTTAGAAAAATAAGTAGTAGAAAAAGAAGGAAAAGTTTTTGATTTACGTGTAATATTATTTTATAAAAAATTGTGTGGTTGAAAATAGGAGAGAGAAAAATGGAATGTAATGTAATTTAATTTAATAAAAATCAAACGGGGGCTTAAATTTGATAATCACATGCTAAATGTGAAAAGGGATCACTTGTTTTGAAAAGGCCTAAGAAGAATGGTCTGCATTATCTTGTGGGAGAAACCATAACCATTCAAGATAATGGTCCTTTGACTGTAACTGAAAATAGTTCTGAACTTTTGACACAATATATTGGGACACATTGTCAATAAGGGCCTAACATATCTAAGTAATCAAAAGTTACTAGGGAAAGATATAATAGAGCCTCTTTAGTTTTGTGAGACCTGTGTATGAGGTAAGTCCCATAAGGTGAGTTTTAATGGGGGAATTTTTTAAATGACTTACCACTATTTATTTTTGGTAAAATGTGTATAATACCCTCAATGAAATGATTTGTCATATTTTGCACAAGATATCCTTAATTTATTGGAATAGTTCTACAATTCCTCTATTTCTTTCATTTCGAGTTCTAATATATAGTTCCATCCTTTGATATAATAAATTAGCATAATCTGTAATATAATTGTCATGTAATTTACTAAGATTATCATATTTCTTAGATGAAATATCCATAGTCTCTAGTTGAGCAAAAATATTTCTTATTTTTCTTAATAGTTTTTCTAACAGATTATCTAATTCTTTAATTGTATAACCAGGCATTATTCAGATAATTCCTTGCAAGCTTTATGAATAATAATAACATGTTAGATAAGTTTTTTGCAAACACGAAAAGTAATAATCCATACGATTCTTTCAAGATATCAGAAGAATTCTTTCTAAATTTAACAAAGACAATAATTTTACCTTACTTTTGATCTTAAATCTGTATTCTTAGAATCGAGTGACCTTCAAGTTCTGAATCTGCAAACTACTCCCTCAAACGACCTTTTGCCTCAATGGGAATTCTGCTATTTCAGCTTCTGCCCTCACTGTATCTTTTCTTAGAATTAAGAGTAAAGATCTTAAATAAAGAAAATTCTCTCTTTGTTAAAGTAAAAAAGAGATTATCTTTTTCAATCTATCAAGAATCTATGCGATAAGAAGTTTAGAAATTCATATTTTTCTGATATCAAAAGATTGAGATTTTATTTCTATAATGATTTATACAAGATTTCTATTGAATATAAGGGGTTTTCAGAAAAACTGGTTTTGAAGAAAGCTTAAGGAAAGAGAATGGTTTCTAACTCGAGATGATCCATTCTTTCGCTAAAGACCTCTATTTATACATGACTCAAACTCACTATTAATGATCTATTACATCATTGCATACATCAGAATTTTGAAAAAAGACTCACATGCCTCTCTATTCTTTTCCTCCTGGGGTCTACATTTTCACACGCATTCTTTGCCTTTCCATCAAAGGGGCATCTTTATCTCTATTATTGCCTTTCCATCTTTGGCTCCATATGCAGTTGGCTAGATGCTTTGGTAGTGGTATGTCCTCTTTTATCTATCTCCATTCATCTTTTATCTTGAAGAATCAATCTTTTAATCTTGTCTGCATGTGGGGCACTCCCTCAAGCTACATGATTCTTGGATTGTTGTTGGACTTTCACTAATTTATCAAATTTCTGGATATATTCTTTCAAAATGGTAGATTTTTCTTTTCTATTATTTGTAAGGAGTGTCCATCTTTCATATTGGCACAAGCATCTGAATTTTTTATCATATAAGTTCTTTGCTATGTTGTAAAGAACTTTCATCTCCAAAACTCTCCGGGATTTAATCCATGAATTATTGATTTTAGGCAATGGTTTATTATTTCGGCCAACTTCAACCTGAAAATCTCGGCCAATATATCCAATTGTGATAATATGTTCAGCAGGATAAATCCTTCCATCAATTTCGGGATTTATTGAATAAAATTTGATATAAATCGACCTCCTTTGGGCAAATTTTGAAACTTCTGCCCTGAATATATAATCAAATTTTTCAATATTTTTTTAAATCTTTTCCTGGATAGATCAAATCCAGAAATCCATAATCTGCTTTCATTTTGACCATGAAAGGGTCTGCATTTTTGGTAATTATTAATCTGGGATAAACATGATCTCCCGATACAATAAAATAAGATTCATTTTCTTCCAATTCATAAACAATTTTGGCAAATGATCTATATTCTTCTTCTTTTGATGATAAAGGGGTATCATCATCTTCATCAGTTTTGATTCTTATAACTTTTGTATGTTCATCACCATTTTTTATAGTCACATTTCGGGGACTTGCTATGTCTCGTTTGATATTGCTGGATCCACTGCTGCTTCCTGGTTGTGTACCTGTATTTGCTGTTTGGTATCTAATGACTCGAATTGTGAAGTAATATCAACAATTCTGTCATTCAATTCTTTGTTATATTTGGAATGAGAATTAGAGATTTTCACCAACAATTTGACATTTTGTTGGATAGATTCTGCCATTTCCTCTAACTGCTCAATTCCAATTTTCATATCTTCAGATTCTTCCATGAGGAATTTCATTCTTCTGTTGACGTCTATTAATGAATTTTTGATATTATCCATCTCCGAATTCGATATTCCTGCTCAAAAAATCTGCAAGATAATTATTTATTCCTTTAATATGAACAATATCAAAATTGTAGAATGATAAATATGATTGCCATCTGTGTAACCTTCTATATTAAGGTTCCGTAGGTAACTTATTTCTAATAAGTCCTGCAATTTGAGAATTATCAGTTTCAACAACAAATTTTTTAGATAAAAGAAATAATGAAAACTTTTTTATTCCTCTAATAATTGCTAATAATTTTTTTTCATGAGTAGTATAATTTATTTTTGCGTGGTTAAAAGTTCCACTTGAATATCTACATATTTCATTTAAATCTGTTTTTAATATAGCTGTCCAATATTTATCCGAGGCATCAGTATTGACAATTAGATTATCTTTTTCATCTGATAATCTTAATTTTGGTAAATTTTTACATTCTTCTTTTAATAATTTAACAATTTCAATATGTTCTTTATTTCAACCTTTAGTATTTGTTTTCCTAAGTAGAATTGGTATCTTGTGTCTTTTTTTGAGAGATTTTCAATAAATCGTTCAGCATAGTTT